TGTGTGTGTGTGTGTGGTAGAAGTATCGGTTTTTGTACTCTGTATCGGCAAGTACTCAGATCCAAGTATCGGTATCGTATCGGTTTGAAAAAATTGGTATCGTTGCATCCCTAATTAGAACCATCAGGTAATTAGAGCATTGCTGTAATTGTGCACTCCAGTCAGTATGTTCTTGACAAGCTTGTCTTCTCATGAGTCTTTCATAACCCACAGCATAATAGAAACTTGTCAATAATTGTAGCTTTTAGATAAGCAATGAAGTTCTTTCACCCTGTGGCTGTTTGCTCTTCTCATCTTTCAGCTTTTTGGAGTTTTCTGGGCTGCATACAGCGCTGCTTCACTGCTTGTCGGAGATGAATTTAAAACAAAGAAGCCCCTTCTCATATATCCCATTTTCCTACTGTACATCTACTTCCTGTCGCTATATACTGGAGTGTGATTGGATGACCTGGAGCTGTGGACCTTTTCATGGACAGTTACCCTGGAGCATGGGTGGGGGGGGGGAAACAAAAAAACCTACAAAACCAGGATTTTTTTAAAACTCTGTCATTCTAGATGTTGGGGAAGTTGGGAATATATACTAATGTATATAGTTTTTCCTTGTCTTTGGTCAATAAAGTGCATATGCTTTTGCTGCTTAAACCTTGGTATGCAGACTTATCCATCACCAGTGCAATACAGATCCCAGAGCCCTGCGTAAACCTGTAGTTCTTGGGTCTAGAAATAAGTCCAGGCCTGGATATTAATGTCATATTTTTAAAAATCCTAATCACACTGAGGAATATGGTGCCAAATATTTATGTATGTTTGTGCTGATCCTTATTGTTGTGCACTGTAGCCAGAAATGTTCATTTATGCTTTTCCCTTTTTACAGACATGTTAATTTATAGATTTCAGCAGTGGGTCAATCAGAAGGATATAAACCATTGTCTACTAAATGTGGTGCCTTGTTCTCTAAACCCTGAGTCTTTTTTATGCAGGACTATACTCGTTTGATCAATAATACAGTAAATTTGTAGAGTAATTTGTCTCTAAACCATCTGGTGTCTCATGACTCATCACTGCTTTACAGTAAACCCAACTTTGTCACACTTAACAGTCCTGTAATCTATACTGCAGCACTAGATTTGCCTACAAATTTTACAATCACTTGTAAATGTAGCGTCAAACACACTAAGACAGTATTCTTATTCAGTGCGACTGTACTTACAATTGGGTTTCTAATGTTTGTAGAAAAAAAGAAAAAATGACAAAGCCAAGAGTAACAATTATGTTACATCCCCACGAATGTCTAGGTGGTGAGGAGACTAACATAACACTGGAAAAAGAAATATAAGCAGGCTGTTGAGGTCAGTTTTTAGAAAGGTTTATTGCCAACATGTTATCAGAAGGAAGCATAGTTCATGGAGAGCCAAGGCCAACGCAAGAAAACAGCTCTAACTCACCCTAACTATAACCAGGCTTAACTAGGCCAGTGCCGGTTTAAAAATGATGTACCGTAAGTTTGGCAAATTTAAGTGGCAGAAACAACTAAATATGTGCTTATATGACTGGCTGGCAGCCGGATAATGACTGTATTGTATCGGTTTGGGACATAACATTAAAAGAATACTTAGAACAAGAGTGAAGCTGAGGCTCATCATCAGTAGGTTGTCAAATACCAAAGAACTGAGGAATTAATCTCTTGGTGGCCCACAACGTAGGTCTTCAAATTACAAACGTCAAGGTGGTACTAGAGTAGTATTCAGGTGATTATAACTCTAAAATGTAAGTGCAGCAGTTTAGGGTCGTTAAAGATTGAGAAAGAAATTTACTAAAAATGGTAAATGGCCTGTATTTATAAAGCTCTTTACTAGTCCCTAAGGACCCCAAAGCGCTTTACACAACCAGTCATCCACCCATTCACACACACATTCACACACTAATGTACTTCTTTCCAATTGATGTAATGCCAAATCACAAAAATATTTGCCTCAAAGGGCTTTATATTGTAAGGTCAAGACCCTAAAATAATATTATTGGCTACAGTCTGAAGGAAGAACTCCCTTTTAACAGGAAGAAACCTCCGGCAGAACCAGGCTCAGGGAGGGGCGGGGCCATCTGCTGCG